GTCCTGGAGGAACAGCAGCTTGGTTGTGGCTTGGAGGCAAAGATGATGAACTTGGACTCACACACTTTGGAAATATTGTAGAGAAATACGAGTCTTTGGAAAAAAAAATATGTGCTTGGAAAAGTAGAGAGTCATCAAAAGAGAGGAAAACTCATAAGAAGGTGGATTAAAACAGGAAATGGAACCGTACACTTGGACATGGCAGAGATCACGAAGGAGATGCAGGGTCTGGAAAGGCTACAGTACGTCCTGACGTAAGGTCCCAGGGTTGGCCTTATCTGGAAGGCACCTAATAATGACAACAACATCTAATATGTGCTAATTTGACTGATTTTTCTTTTTAATATTTTTGCAAAACCCAAAACAAAACCCTTGAAATACGCTTGTCAGATGAAGTCAATTCATCCTTTCCAGGGAAGCAGAAGGTCGACCAGTGCAGATTATCCTCAGGCCACATACACCCTTGTTTTCCTCACTGCTGCTTGCACTCTCCTGGGTTTTGATCCTCCTTAATGTCATAGTCTGGATTATTTTCCTCATCTCCTTGCTCTTTTACTACTTCACCTTCTTCTTCTTCTTCTATGTCATCGTCATCGTCATCATCATCATCTTCTATGTAAAGTATAACACCGATCTTGGAATTACATGCTCACATAAAAAGTGATTGATTCCCAAGTCTGCAGCAAGGATAGCTTCAGCAGCAGTATCCCAATCTCCACTCTCAGGAACTTCAGGAGGGGTAAAAAAAAAATGAAAGAAAGAGTCATTGGAAATGGTTTTAGTCACAGGATGAACTGTTCCACGTCCCTTATGTTTCTGCTGCTTCTTAACAGTTTTCAACGTGACATTCTTTCCTTTATTCCAGTCTCTCTGGCACCCTGTATAACCCATAATTTCTGGTCGATCAGAAGAAAAGGGGTCAGAATCATCTGGTTCAGACCTCACCTGTAGGTCTTTGTCAACACTGCGTTTGTGAAATACTCATTGGCTTCAAAGTGAAATTCCAAGACAAAAACTCTTTGGCTGGCCCGCATCCGAGCATTTCACCTTAACATCTTTCAAGAGCTTCTGAATAGGCTCCTCATGTCCCGAACCATATCATTAAGCAAGTCAACATTCTTAAATATAGTCAACCAAATGTGGGAATTCCTTTGGGATCTTCTTTTTCTTCATCTTTCTTCTCATCTTCAACCTTAGCCTTTCTCTCAGCTCCTCTGAAATTTCATCCTCCACGTCTGGTTTCTACTCACATTCTTCTCCTGTGGGCTCATAATTTGCATTGATGATCTCAAAACGCTGATCATATAGAGGTTGCTAGAGATCAGCATATTTTCTTTCAAAATCTTGAACTTCCTCATAGAATTTGGCTTCTTTTTGTGTACATTTAACTTGAAGGTTTTAAGATCATTCACTCGTCTTTTCAGTAACATAAGCAAAGTCTCAATGTATCTTGTTGGTGTGTCTACCAGGCCATCAAGTCTTTCTTGAAGGGCTGCAAGAATCTGAGGATTTTGCATCATCTGAACAGTAAGCTGCCACACTGATTTTTGTTTCTTCACCAGTTTCTTCTACTTCTACTTCTTCAACATCATCCGACTCTTGACCACGTTCAGACTGTTCCTTGTCAACGTCTGCCATGTTGTAAGAAGAACTCCAAATATCGGAGGCTAGAACGCGGAGGCCGGTGGCTGGAACTGCACAGGGAGTGACTCAGGCAGGCTGCAGTGAGGCTACGTTTTGCTTGGATTTAGAAATTAGACAATCCTGGTAAAATAAGTGTGCTAGATCCTTGATAGAGCTCATAAGTTACAGGTATTTTGAAGATAACTGTGTTCTACATGACACCTAAAAAGTAATTTGTGCTAACTCAAAATTGAATCTGCCAAAGTCATGTCTATGTGGTACCTTAAAACTCATGTTTGATTCTAGATGGTTCATTAGTCTACACACATATTTTAAAGTGAAGCAAGCTTTTAGGACAAAAGTTTGTTTTTTCAGACTTTCAAGGGGGGGGGAAGAAGAACAAACTGGGGAGGAGGGTAGAGAAAATAGTGCAACAGTGAATGAATGAAAATCTAAAATCTCTGTAAATGTTCATTAAAATTAATAAAATTTAATAATTAAAAAGTTTGTTTTTTGCAGAAAGTCACTACTTTTTTTGTCTAAGGCAAGATATTTTAAAGAAACCGATTTCTAAAAATTTAATACACATATTCAGGGAATTCACTGTTTTTCCCTTCCAACTAAAATACTTAAAAATTCTTGATTGTTTCTACTTTTATGTATCAATTTCCTAGGTAATTTTGCTCAAAATTTTAAATTTTATTGCAATAATCAGCTCTATCCGCACTAGACCTGGAGACTACATCCTAGGAAGACAGAATTTAGCGACAATTTATTATTAATGTATAATGAGTGGGAATGTGGTGGGAAGGGCGTCAGACATATCATGATGAACAGTTAATATCTGCGTCTGCGTTGCGTTCTAATTGATAGCTCTGTCTGATGTTTGAAAAGCATTAAATTGCTGATGTACATGTGATGGAATGCCTTTTGTCAGGCTAGGGAGGAAAACTCTGCCTCATCATTGCAGATGATTTTCAAATGATTTGTAGAGAAATGACTTTGGATGTTTGTATTAAAGGTCAGAATTAGAGATCTCACATTTCTATAGTCACTCCCATGTGCAAAGTCTTTCTTTAGCATAAACCATGCTCTGCAAATCTATTTTTTTAAGTCTTTATAGAGAAAGACTGTGGATCATTAAATTGTAAGAAAAATGCAGCAGATTGCATTAGGACAGGATCAAAATAAATTGGTCAATAATACATGAATTGAACAGTCAAAAAGATAAATATAGTAATATGTCAAGGTAGTGGAATTTATTGATGCTTGAGCTAACAAAGAAAAAATTGCTGGCATTTTGAAATTGTCATTTATTATGTATATTCAAGTGAAATAGATTAAAAGGTATTTAACTTTGCAATCTAAAAGGATCTCCTGTTTTATAGTTCTGCATTTCACCTGTGTGCATTTATGTGTGGAGGACACGTATTCGAGCATCATTTTCCTAGGTCTTGATAAAGTTGTTGTGTTGAGTCCACTCTATGTCCCTGTGAATGACAGACCTGAAGCTTGCCCCTATCCTGACCGTCCTCCAATTCCTGAGTTCACGGCTGCAGCCGCTCTAGCAAGTCATTTCATTGAGTTCTTCCATTTCACTGATCTTCTGCTTTCCAAGCATCCTGGCTCCCAAGTGTCCGTTTGTAGTCATCACACTCTTGGCCATCTCAAAAGGAAAGATGCTTGATGGGTGAAGGAATCTTTTTACATGGAGACTCATAGGCCTATCTGGTTGAATAAATCGAGCTCAGTTATTATTCCAACAACCTTCACGGACAGCAAAATAAAAACTAAAATCTGGTATTGTTTTTTCTATATGCTATTGAGTTGTGCTTGTCAATGATAAATCTGAACCCTGCCCTTTCCTGTACTATCCTCATGACTTTTAACATGGTCAAACTCATTGTTACAATAACTGTGTCAGTCCCTCTGGTTGATGGTTTTCTGGCCTTCCACCTTCCCCAGTCCAATCTCTTTATCCAAGGACTGGTACATTCTGACAACAGGCCCCAAATACCTAAGATAGAATTTCATCAGCCTTGAGCCTAATGGACACAATTCTAGTATACAATGCCAAATACACACTTGAGTGATGATAGTTTTTATTTTGCACTGTCGTAGTTGTTGTACTTGAATGGTAATGGTTTTTATTTTGCATTATGATTTTTATCTTATTCTATACAATAAATTTAAAAACATACAACAAGAAAAGCAAATTATAGTGGGACAAATAGAAAAATCATAAAATAGAGTGAGAAACTCAAATGTCAACTGAGGGACAAATCTCCTACTCAGAAAATATAAGTGTAAATACTCTTAATCTGCAACCGTAATTCAGCAGTGGGTTACTGAAAATAGAGTTAAGACCTCTTGCCGCTAATTAGTCTAGTTCTTCTAACATCACTCTGCAGGACACAGGCTCTATCATCCAAAAGAGGGTAGGGGAGAAAGCCCTCCATCTGCTGCTCCTGCTGCGAAGTTATGAGACCCTAGTCTCTCAGTCTGGCAGAGGACTTCCTTTTTGGATTTCTGCCATGCCGGACATCTACTTAAATTTCAGGCCAATTTATGCCATTGATTCTTGAAATATCTTGGTCCTCTTTGATGGCCTTGAAATTTTCCAACCTCTCTGGTAACTTATGACTAGAGAATATATCATATTATGTTTACTCCTATAGAATTACTCCATGAAACATTTTTTTCTGTGTGTTCTCCTTGTAAGTTTGTATTTTTGAAAATTAACTCTGGCAATGTAAATTGTTACAGTATTTTCTCCTCTATTTATCAAATCATGTTATATTGTCTCTGCCTTTAATTTTTTCAAAGGGATCTTACTAATTTATACATATTTTTCCTTCATTATAATACATTATCTTCCAATGCTATACAATGCAACTTTAATTTTTACTTCTGAGTGTCACAGACTAATAGAGTGTATAATATGAAAAATCTTAACCCAAATGCCCTCTATTTTTATGTCCTTTTTTAAAGTAAAATAAACAATGAAAATAGGATTAAATACTTCATCAGTATTAGTCTGTGATGTTTTGTAAGTAGCTCTAGTGGTGTGGTGTGAAACGTGAGGTGCTGTAGTTTCAATCAACCAGCGATTCCTTGGAAGAAAGATGGTCAATCTCCTTCCATAAGGATCTGCACTTGTGGAAACCCAAGTGTGGGATTCTGTGAATCAGAATCATTCAGCGGCCGTGTATTTAGGGTGTTCTCTATATGAAGTTTGATAGGAAATTTATCACAATCTTTGTTTACCATCAGTAAAACATGGCAAGTACCAGTCTGATTTACAGACTTGTATTTGTTTCTTTTTATCATCGAAGGTTTTTCTATCTTATAGAAATCGGTATCTTTTGTTTTCACAGGTAAAAAGATGGCCTATCAGAAAGTCAGTGCAGACCAGAGAGGTCCTGGACACTCCCAGTTCTTGGACAGTGACGACCTTCAAGCCACTGCCCTTGACCTGGAGTGGGACATGGAGAAGGAACTGGAGGAGCCTGGATTTGATCAGTTCCAGTTGGAGGGTGCTGCGAATCAGAACGCGAGGCATTCAGAGACAGAAGACCTTAACCTTGATTCCATTCAGCCCTCAGCCTCCCCCAAAGGAAGGTTCCAGAGACTCCAAGAGGAGCCTGACTATGTCACCCGTTACGCACGACCTGCACCAAAGAGCAGCCGCTACAGTTTTTGCCGCCTTTTGAAAATATTTTGCACAGCGACCACATTATTTATTTTTGGAATTTTGATGGGTTATTATACGCACAAAAATTGCCCATCAGAAGAAGCAACGTCTTCGGGAATGGATGATCCTCATTTATCCCGAGAGATTCTCAAGGCAATTCAAGCAGAGAATATTAAGAAGTCGTTCAGGTAGGTGAGGAGGAAACGGATGCCTCGGGCTGCGTTTCCTGGGAAAGCTCCTCACAGGGTAGCAGTGTGGTTGGTTTGATTTTTGCCGTGGTTTATAGACATCTTGAAAGCTGAGAAACCTAACATGTCAGCACAACAGACACTTCTCACAAGGAGCAGACACATTTCCAGATTTATGCATAGCAATACAAGTTCAGGGTGCTAGTTTATTAATTGAAAATAAAAATCACTATTATTATTATGGAATTTGGAAAGGAACTTTGTGACTCCTAACCAAAAAGTAGATGATTCAAATGTGCCCGTCATTCTGCTGGAGAAAGAGGTAGCGTGGGAGACTGTATAAATGACAGCCTTGGAAGCCCAATGAGACAGTCTTTCTCTGCCCTACTGAATCATTGTGGCTGTGATTATATGCCAGCCAGTGGGCCTTACAAGGCTGTAGATCACACAGGAGGAGACTGCCCATCTTTCTCTCACGAAGCAACTGGTGGAACCGAACAGCAGGCCTTTGTGTTGACAGCACAGAACTTTCCCACCAGGTCACAGGGGCTCTCTGTGGAGTCATTATTACTTGAAATGGATGAGACAGTAGTAGATTATGGACATTTAAATGTTAAGTCTCTCAACCATCCCCCCCCCCCCCCGTTCCTGTTGGGAAGCACTTGTAGGCCCAAGTGGGATGAAAAAATACAGGATATATTTTAGGTAAAAATGATTTACTCATATGATTGAACATTTTGATGATATCAGACTAACATGGACTTCCTTCATGGACTGAGGCAGCCCACTGCCGTCCTGCATTGGGAGCAGAAGAGCACACTGGTAAGGTGGGTCTTCCGCATTGTGAAATCTCCAATGAGTACATTTCTATGAAACATGGTGTGTTACACACATTAGACTGTTTTAAAAGATTATTTTTCTTAAAGGTAAATTTGTATAGGATGTTCCTACCTAGAATAGGATTTTTTGAAAGTTAGACTACAAAAAAATATTAGTTAGTAGCCTTTAATTCTGATTTTGAGCAACAGATCTACTCCCCATAGTAATATTGTTGTTGATTGCCTTTGAGTCAAACATGACTCATAGCGACCCTATGAACAAAAGGCCTGAAGCCCCTCTGCAACTATCGACATTTACCAAAGTTTATAGAGTTTCTAGTGGCATGTTATTTAGGAAGTGGATGCCACTCGTGTTTCTAACATACTAGTGGGTAAAATAAAAACTTCTGCTGTTTGCGACATCATTAGCAGATATGTTGATTCTTCAAGATTAGTTCATATATTTACCAAATGAAGATCTGAAGAGAAGGCTCAACATTAGCTTCTACATGTATCTACCATGTTTACATTGTAAGGATAATCCGAGGTACATCTCATGTGTTGTCTGAAGGTAGGTGGCAAAGGTGGAATACTGTTTGTTTCCCAAGAAAAACCTTCCAACCACTCTGATTTATTACAACTAAGCTATTCTCTGTAATGTATCTTTAGGGTTCCACTCCAGGAGATCATTCCGACTGAATCGGCATCATTTAATCCATATAAAATAACTGATATGCTGGTATTGGTGAACTATAATCTTACTAAAAAGATCCTGCTTCAGTCCTGGGACTTTGTTTCTTCTCTATCGTGTGTCTGTTTTCAATGGTACATGAGCATCCCTGGAATGTGTAATGTACAGATGATAACACAAGTTATTAGGTGTTTATTCAACTGCTTAGGGTGAGTTTTAGTAAATGAGGAATAATAATGTTTGTACCAATGGGATGCTGCTGGAGGCTCCCATCCAGTCTCTAGGTCTTTCGTGTTGGGTAGGTTGCTTCCTTACACACACATGCACTTGTTGAAGCACTGGTGTCTGTCTTATAAGGTAAGACTTGTGTACTGTTTAGTGCCATTTGTATCATCAGGCCCTGGCTGCTCTGTC